TTATTATTATTATTATTATTATTATTATTATTATTATTAAACACTTCCTGGTTTGTTTTCAACATGATGCAATGGGAAAAGTGAAGTGATAGAGGGCAGTGTCACTAAGCTCTTCAATAACTTAACCTATAAATTAACTATAAAGTCAAGCTGTAAGATCTAAATCAGTAATTCTCAAACTGTGGGGTAGGACCCACTGAAGAACAAGGAGCAAGGGGCACAAGGCTTGGAGGCCCTGATCCCCCCCACCAGCTCCTCCTCTGCTTCCAAACCTTTTATGTCTTGGCAATACAATTAACTTGAAGGTATTTGTTATTATCAAAGGTGAAGTAGTTGTGTTAGAACAAAGTGGCAGACATTGGTGGCTAGGTCTGCTATGGTCCTGTATGGAATGATGTTCCTGACAGCTTGTAGTCCATCCTTGTGTGGGATGCTGGTATATAGGGATGAACATACATATAATAAAAACATAATCAAAATACAGTAGTGCATTACTAAAAGTGTGTATCCACAATATACACATAAAACAGCAAAAGTCTATGAAAGTGGAGCTGATGCCCAGCCTCCCACTTCCTCCTCTTCTATTTGCTTTAGAAAATGAGGATACTCAGTAAGAAGCACAAACCGCAGCAATATAGTGTCTCAATCATTTAACATCCATTTAGAAATGGATAGGCATAGAGAGATTCAGCTGTTTGGATCGATATGAATTGGTGATCAAGATGTTCTTCACTGGCTGAGCCAGGAAAAAAACAATAAGACTAGTGATGTTTTTAATCTGTTTTTTACTCTGTTAAATCTGTTATTTAATACATTTAAATCTGTTATTTAATACATTTAAATCTGTTATTTAATACATTTTAATGTTGTTATTTCAACTGTACATACTTAGGTTCTTGTATAGCCTAAAATGCACCCGATCCAATCTGATCTTGGAATGTACAGAGGGTTTATTATTTATTTATTTATTTGGAGTATTTATACCCTGCTCTTCAACCACAGAGGCTCTCAGAGCAGCTTACATTTTTTTTTTTAATTAGACAGTTCCCTGCCCCCAGGCTTACATTTAAAAAGATATGACACTAAAGGAAGAGGGGATGGCAGTAGGGAAGGGGATCAAGTTCAGTGATTTTGCTCTCCCTCTGGGGCCAGGGCCACAGCAGATGGACTGGAGGAAGGACTCTTCTTCTTCCCCTGGCTTGGCCCAATGAAGCTGGCCTGTCCCTCTCTCCCTCCAAGGCTGGATGATGAAGATGAACTGGACGGAGGGCTCTTCTTCTTCCTCTGGCTTGGCCTGATGGGTTGGCCCTGGTTAGTACTTGAATGGGAAACTCCCAATAAATATCATGTGCTGTAAGCTACCGTATATTTCAGAAGAGGAACTCGCAAAACCACCTGTGAATATTGCTTGCTGAAGAAAATCTTATTAAAATCATGGAATTGCCATAAGTCAACAGGTGACTTGAAGACACACTCAAACATACATACTGCCTTGGCTACTGATGTAAAAAGGTAAAGTATCTATGATTACAAGTGTATTAATAAAGGAGCTAGCATTTTTTGTGATAACAAACTGTATGGCAAACAGTGTGATTATAAGATGGTAACAATGGATTCAACCTGGTCTATTCAGAAATGTTGCCCTGTTTTCAGTGGAGCTCACGTACAGCTAAATGCATCCAGGATTGTAATTTAAAGATGAACTCAGTGGGTTAATCCTGAGTAGATATATCTAGAATTACAGTTGGCCCCCCCCCCCACATTTGTGGCTTTGACTTTTAAGGCTTTAATTATCTGCAGTTTTGATTAATGTGTTCTCTCTAGGAATCTCTAGGTTCTTCAGTGCAACTCTGCTAGAAGATGACCATTGAGTTGTGCTGCAGAACATAGAAGCTCCTAGAGAACACATTTCTCTAGGCATCTGTAGGTTCCCCAGCATGATTCTATGATCTACTTCTGGCAAATATTGACCATAGAGCTGCAATGAATGACCTGAAGATCCCTAGAGAGGTGTTCTCTCAGGTAAAAAGAATAGGTTTCTGTTTTTTTCACAGGGTCCCTCACCCCTAACCCCAGTGAATGTGGAGGTATATTGAAACTGGGTTTCTAACTGGGACTGACTGAAGGGAACACAGCTTGCCAGTTCTGAAAAAACTAATTGGTTTCTGGCCCATTTCTAAGCACCATTCAGAGTGCTAGTGCATATGTTCAAATAGGACCTGGACACCTGGAAAATTGTCTCCTTATACATGAACCTGCTCACATACTAATGTCATAATTGACAGCTCTTAAATGTTACAAAGGCAGCAACTAGAGAGAAGGCTAGTGCCTCAATTATAGAACATCACCTAATAGGACCTCTGATATCCTTTTAGCACCAAGCCTCATGCCTTTAAAAGTACCACATATTGTTAATAGTTCTTACCATTTTCGTTGTTTTCATATTTGTAATTTTAATATATCTCATTATTCTCTTGTTATGTTTTACTATTTACTATTTTTAAGTACAATATTGCTCAAGATATAGATACTACATTTTACAGCTGTTTATCTTTTTGCTTACAGTAAGCCAGCAGTGTAATGAAAACATAATTCATTTTAGGAGACAAATGTTAACATTCCCATATTTCAGAACTTGGAAAAGTTTTTTTAAAAAAAGCACACACAGAGAAACAAATCTACAAGTCCCAGAACCCCTCAATTAACATGATCAATGGTTATTTTAGCCGGGAGTCTGGGAGTTGTTTGTAATAAATATTTATTCAATATATAAGCATTTAAAATAAATTTAAAAGAAATGAGTTTATCAAATTTTTGCCAGGACAATATTCATGAGATTACTGTACCATTTTATTCTTTAAAAATCCTCAAAGGTAAATACAATAAAGAGAAAATGATGGTAGTCATGTAATTACTGGAGGAATCTTGAATCCTTCCATGCTTTCTAGTTTCAAATGCAGGCATGAACCCTTTATTTAGACTACTCCTTTTTGGAACATGCAAAATTCCAGTGGTGCTGACATAAGTTTTAAAGGGTAGATCTGTATAGTTCCTAATTATACTGGTGCTTTTTTAAAAAAATTATTAATTTTATATCTTGCATTTCTCCCAAGATGGGGCCCAAATCTGATTTTTTAATGATTTGCTTTATGTTTTAATTATAATCTGGTGTATTATCTAGAGTTAGTGCTGCTAGCCTCTCAGCAGTCAATGGAAAAGTAGAATATAAATTCAATAGTAAATGGGGCAAAGGAGATTAAAGTGCATATATTTTATACAAAGTGCAAGTCTGTAGAATAATACCCTCTCTATGAAAACTTTATTTTCCAAAATTTTATTAACTTCCATGACAGAGTAAGGAATCGTTTGCCAAATATACCTTATTGTGTGATTTCAAGTAATAGTTTGTTGTTGGGTTTTTAAGAATTGACACTAATCTGGTTAATGAGACACACATGCCCCAAGATTCAAATACTAATTATACACTGACATTCACAAAGAGGAAATGGTTATTATGTCAAGGAAACAAATGCATTGCTTCTGTCCTTTTGTGTTGCTTCCCCGAAGAGAGTGAAGAACAACATGCCTTCATCAAAATAATACAAACAAAGAAAAACTTTTAGATGACTGCCATTAAAGAAACAATATCAATGAAGATGGTTTAAATTGGCTACTTATTTATTTGAGGAAGTCAGTAAAGCTCCCATTAATCTCTTAAACTATCTCTCATCTGCTATGTTGTCGTTGTTGTTGTTGTTGTGTGCCTTCAAGGTGAAATGGCACCCCTAAGGGGACCTATGACAGGGTTTTCTTGGCAAGGTTTGTTCAGAGATGGGTTGCCACTGCCTTCCTCTGGGGCTGAGAATGTGACTTGCCCAAGGTCATTCAGTGGGTTTCCACGGCCAAGCTGGGATTCGAACCCTTGTCTCCAGAGTCATAGTCCAATGCTCAAACCACTATGCCACACTGGTTCATCTGCTATTCCTCTCATACAGTGATGGAAGTCTTTTGTATTTATGCCTTATTTGTAGGCCTTTCAGAGCTATAGAAAAAAGAGAATGTTGCCACTCTACACGCATTGTACTGCAACTCCCACTATCCTCAGCAAGACTGGCTTGGCTATGAGTTATGGGAAAAGCAGTCCAAAACATCTAAACAGTACTAGATTGTGGGAGAGGTGGGATTTCTACTCATTTCTTATTCTTTGTTCTTTGCTAGTGCTTTGTTACTTTGATCATTTTATAACACTAAACAGGCTAACACAAAAAAAAGTGTAACTGTTTACTTCACCTATACCTCCCATTCTTATAAATCACAATTACTAGAAAACTAGTCTGCTAACCACCTATTGAAAACATAACTTGTCCAAGCACTATGTAAAGGGCCACATGTTTCTTATCATACAAGGTATTCCATATATTTGTTTTTCTTGTCATTAATGCACCTTCAAGTCTACTCCAAATTATGGAGGCCCTCTCATTTTCTTGGTAAGATTTTTGTATTTTTACATGTTATATTTTAATTTATAACTGTTTTAACTCTTTTTAATTTTTTTTTAATTTTGTATTTATATATTTTAATATTGTTGTACTATTTTTAAATTGTATTGTTTTATACTTGTTCACTGCCTTGAGTCCCTATATTGGGATATATAAGAAAGGTGGGATATAAGAAAAGAAAATAATAATAATAATAATAATAATAATAATAATAATAATAATAATAATATTCAGAGGTTTGTCATGGCCTTCTTTTGAGGCTGAGAGAGTATGACTTCCCAAGGTCACTCTGCAACTTTCCAGGGTGGAACCCACATTTGAGCCTTGATCTCCCAGACTTCTAGCTCAACACTCAAACTACTACACTACTGTGACTCTTGTTCCTTATATGCTTCCTTCAATTCTATGGAGGACTTTTTTAAGTTTGTATCTTATCCCTAGGTAACTGGTTGGCTTAATAAATAAGAACTGGGTTTTCTTTGACAGTCAACCCAGCTATCCTTGCAATTTTTAAAAATGTATCTGAAGATATGGAACTTACCAGCTCACTGGGCAGTTCCTACACTGGACAAACTTGAGTTTATGTAATGTTACATTGGGACTTGTTTTTCTTAGAATGTGTCCCCTCCAAACACAAAGTAACCTAATTTGGGTCCTGCTGACGTACATGACCTGTTCAGACACCTAAATTTATCACTAAACCTCACAGTATAGAAATTTCTGGGAGACTCTGTGCACTTTTCAAAAAAATGGCCTGAGACCTTGAATTGGATAGAAACAGACAAAGTGAACAGAAGGGGTGCTTTGAAATTTCAAATGGAGAAGCTCTATTTTACTGCCTTTGTTCCCAGTCAATTTGGGGCCATGGGCAAACTTTTTTGCCTACAAAGACACTTCCTGTGAAGCACCTCAAAGCAAAAATGTAGATACTGTAACTCTAGCAACACCACTTTGCTTTCCCAGCTTGCCTTTTTACCATCTCTGCCTGATCAAGAAGCCTGTGAGTATCAAAAGTTGGTATGATATATTTTGTATTCTGTCACCCTTTAGCTATAATCTTGAAAGTGCCCTAGTTCGGATTCTGATGAATCAACAGGAAGAGTTCGCAGACTTTTTTTCTTAATGCCTTCAAACAACCTTTTAGTCCCAATTTTCTGCAATTAAGCCAAACTGGACTTTGAAAGTTACTTACTGACCATGCTAGCTGGGGGATTCCAGTCCATAAATAGTAACATATCCAAACTCTAACCCAGTATGTTTAACAGGAACAATAGCGTATTCCTTCCCTGTTTCAATGTTGCTCCCATCCTGCATGCCACCTTCTGATTTTTCTTCTATCTGTATTCAGACTGTAAACAGCTTAGGATGAGGCCCTGTCAAGCCCATTCTTTGTAAATAATATCTATACGTATGACATATAAAAATGTAGCAGTGTATACGAAACATATACAGTCAGCTCTCCACATTTGTAGCTTCTAGGGATTTGATTATTTGCAGATTTATTTGCAGATTTGTTCTCTCTAGGAATTTCTAGGTCCTTCTGCACAACTCTGCTGAAAGTTGACCACTGAGTTGCCTTGGAGGACCTAGAAGTTAGTAGACATTTATAGGTCCTCCAGCATGAACAACCTCTGGCACACGTTGGCCACAGAGTTGTGCTGGATGACCTAGTAATTTCAAGAGAGGTGTTCTCTCAAGTTAAAAAAAAACTTTTTTTATTTACGGGGGTCCAGTGACTGTGAAGGGCTCACTGTAACTTGTGTTAGAACAGGAGTGGGAAATTTGCAGAACTTGAGATATTGTTGAACTGTAGCTCCCAACATATCTTACCACAGCTGATGCCAGCTAGCACTATGGTGAATTGCAGTCTAACAACATTTCAAAGGCCATACCTGTGTTAGATCAAATCAAAGGTCTAACAAAGCCAGCATCCTCTTTTCTACAGTAGCCAAACAGATGCTTTCAGGAGGCCCATTATGCACAACAGAAAGGAAACATCAGCCTACAAAAACTGAGTATTTTTTTTTTCACTCCAAAAGCTCCAACAGCATCCCAAGCACTCTTGGAGGTACTATTGCCTATTTCACTGTAATTCTGCTGTATTTAGGGCACTTTCTGCTACCCTCTGCTATCTTTGCTCTGGATTCAGTCTTTGACAACATTTTCTGTCAAACAGAAAGTAACTGGACAATCACTTCTAGCCAAAAAAAAAAA